AGTAACCATATGACATACACTGCTTCATTTCTAGTAACCATATGAAATACATTATTCATTTCTAGTAACCATATGACATATACTACTTCATTTCTAGTAACCATATGAAATACATTATTCATTTCTAGTAACCATATGACATATACTACTTCATTTCTAGTAACCATATGAAATACATTATTCATTTCTAGTAACTATATGACATACACTACTTCATTTCTAGTAACCATATGAAATACATTATTCATTTCTAGTAACCATATGACATACACTACTTCATTTCTAGTAACCATATGACATACACTACTTCATTTCTAGTAACCATACGAAATACATTATTCATTTCTAGTAACCATATGAAATACACTACTTCATTTCTAGTAACCATATGAAATACACTACTTCATTTCTAGTAACCATATGAAATAGAGTAATTCATTTCTAGTAACCATATGAAATAGAGTAATTCATTTCTAGTAACCATATGAAATAGAGTAATTCATTTCTAGTAACCATATGAAATACACTTCTTCATTTCTAGTAACCATATGACATACACTACTTGATTCCTAGTAACCATGTGAAATACACTATGACTCTGGTTGATTTTAGATCTTATATGAAATATGTGATAAAGTGGATACGTGAAGAGAGACTCTGAGATAGAGATTTGAACGCCAGTGCACTATTAGTAAGCTATGTAAGAGTATAAGCTCCTGTCATCATTCACCCATAAAACTAGTTAGCGCGAGTATGATCAGAGTATTATGTGGTAGTCAGGTAGTTAGTGCATGAGTTGATTCACCACCACCAGAAACAAATTATATGAAGTGTATCACAGACTTAAGTTTATTTATATGATTATTATATGAAGTGTATCACAGACTTAAGTTTATTTTATGATTATTATATGAAGTGTGTCACAGACTTAAGTTTATTTTATGATTATTATATGAGTGTATCGCAGACTTAAGTTTATTTTATGATTATTATATGAAGTGTGTCACAGACTTAAGTTTATTTATATGATTATTATATGAAGTGTATCACAGACTTAAGTTTATTTTATGATTATTATATGAAGTGTATCACAGACTTAAGGTTATTTTATGATTGTTATATGAAGTGTATCACAGACTTAAGTTTATTTTATGATTATTATATGAAGTGTATCACAGACTTAGGTTTATTTTATAATTCCTGTTAAGAATCAACGTAAGGACATTTTCTAACAAACTGTTTTTTCATTTATCGTTTTTTTTCACATAAAATGAAAACAAAAGAAAATGAGTTTATGTTACAAAACATATGACATATGATATAATTTTAAAAGCACTAATGATACTGCTTAGTTTTAGTATCCTATATGATATACGATATTTGACGCAATTTAATTTTACCCTCGACATACACCGTGAAATTGCTTAATATACCTATATGAAATACAGTATGACATTGCTTAATTTTAGTAGTAGTACGAAATACGCCATGACACTGCTTAATTTATCGTATAACTTTCTATATGAAATGTGGTTTCATGATGGTAATCCAGGTGAGCGGTGCCACTAGCGTTTAGGAAGAAAACGGCACCTCTGGTAATACAAACCTGACACTAGACGACGCTGACGTCTGTCACAGTAATTATGGTCATATGTAAATTATGTGTAAGCAAGTTAATAAGGTGTTAGAGCTAATAAAACTGATTAGGTTTTATACAGTTATATGGAAGTTAGTTAACTGTATATGAAGTAAAGTATAACACTGCTATGTTTTACTTATGTATTATGATAATACTGTGTAGGTTATTACTACAAAAAATAAGAAACACAATTCTATCATTGTTGTTCAAATCGATTCCGCAACTTTATTCATTAGTATTTTCCAAGAAAAACGAAATTTCGAGCCTAATTTATAATAGGTTTTAATGGTTAGGTTTGCAACAAGTTTGATAAGTTCACATAGAATATGGACGTGAGTTGTGATGTTTGTATAATTGTATGTAAAACGGGTATTTGAACCACGATTATTTTAAAACACACGTGTCTGTTGACATCATGTGTACAAACATTTACCCCCGAGTGAAATTTGTATTAAAACGACATTTATCATATCTGTTATAAACTGTGTAATACCTGTACACTATAGCCTATTAAAGATACAGTGACGCACCCGGTTCCCGTTGATGTATATAATCTCCAACAGGTCGGAGGAAGTCCTTGACTGTTATATAGCCCATCAAAACAACAGTATTGAAATATTAAACAATAGTGCGTCTTGTAACATTGACGTATTGTCGGCCTTTCTAACATTATATGCTGGAATAGTTCTGGAAACGAAAACTATTTCCAAGAATATATACTGAATGATTTCACAAGTTCGGCCTATCAAATTCTAGGATGAGAGAAGCCTCGTTATAAAACACTGTATTAATAAAATTCCCAAAATATTTCTAACACTGGAACTGTCGGGAAACATACAATAAAAACAAACAACTTCTACTTATCAATTGATGTGCTTAAATCCTGCAAGCAATATAATGTATTTGATTTCACATTGAATGTATTTTTAAATATATATATATATATATACAAATATATTTCTGTTCAACAATTTGTTTTTACTTTAATTAAAAATATGTTTAACTTTCCTTGACTCAACATTGGTGTTGTTAACATTTAAACTTTTCAACAGAAATACACAAACTAACTAGATAAAATATGTCATTTCTCTTGTACTTTTAAAAACATTTCTACATATAGATAATATAAAAAAGTATGTTCTTCTATTAATGTCAAACTTATTTATATCTTTATCAAATAAAACCAAAGTTACTGAAAATCAAAAACTTACACGGTTCAGGATAGTTTATTCCAAGCATTTCATATAAAATGATATGAATAAAAACACTTTCCAGAAACCCATATATATATATGTATATGTGTGTGTGTGTGTATATATATCATTCTAAAAAAGAAAGTTTGTTTCTGATATACAAAATACACAATTTCGGCTTACTGGGTAAAACTACCAAGCACTAACATTTTAAGCCACGGCATAGAATGGCTCTGAGTTTTTTTTGTTTTGTTTTTACAAACTTTTAGCTCATAGCTCCATCTCTTTGAGATCTAATTACAAATTGTTATGACTCCTTAATAGACACAGTTAAACTCAAATATATCTTAAAAGTAAACCGAGCTTTGAATATCGCTAAACATCTCCATTTCAGTTATACTTGTCACATCCTCTAGCTACAGTGATTTTTTAGAGAGAAAAATAGCAATAACATCTTCTAGATTACGTTTTTAGTATTTGAAAAACGTGTTGTGTACGTTTTTAATATATTTCGATTTCTAGGATGACTATATTAGACATCTTACACCTGGTGAATAAAACGTAGAAAAGGAGTAAATAGGAGTCACTAAAACACAATGGTCAATATTACTGGTCAACGTAAATGGAAGTCACTAAAATTTGGAAGGTCACTTATTTTGGTGTTAAGCACAAAGCTATACGGCGGGTACTGAAACCCGATTTTTAGCGTTATATGTTCTCACACTTACCGATGAGGTCTGAAAGCTAACAAGTATATGTACCGAAAGAAACAGAGAAGCCAAAAATATATAGTTTATGTTCATTATTATTATCTATGAATTACTTCTTGTATCCTCAAGAAGAATAAATAATTAGATTGTCCTGTTAAATAGTGTCTAATGACAATTTTATTAAATATTACCAACTGACTTTAGTTACGTGGATTTTAAAACCTCGTTCAGCCAGTTTGATTACAGGGTAATTATTTTTTTATGTTATTAACCCTCGTTCAGCCAGTTTGATTGCAGAGTAACTATTGTTTTTAGTGTTATTAATCCTCGTTCAGCCAGTTGGATTACAGGGTAATTCTTATTTTTTTCGAAACTCGATTTTTTAAAGTTTCGTCAAAACATGTTCTTCAGTTTTCTTAATAAAAATTATTGGGGTCAGTTTACTTAAAAATAATTGGAATTTAACAAGCATTTTCCATTTGTGTGGATCATATTTTAATATCTGTTTCCATCACCGCAACCCGATTATTGTGCAGGTAGTCAATACGGCAGTGTAGCTGTCTGTTACTTCCTCAGTACTTTTTCCAACTATTGTAGCCGTACAGAGTTTGCTGTTAGTTTCATGTATTTTCATTGTATATCTTCTAGCAAAACAAACATCTAGGAATTCTCGAAACTTAAAATCCTCCAGATTTCCAGTGTTTTTGGTGATTAACATTTCAATTAAACACTCTATATTTTGATTTATTACTTGAAAGAAGTGCATAATTTTATTTATCGGAGCTTCAAGTATCTTGCGAAACCTAAATTAAGATGTATGTTGCTACCTTGAATTGACTGTTTAATTACTCTATGTGTTGTTGTGACACCATAATTATTGGAAAAGTTGGTGTTACGTCACCCTTCATCCAGGTTCAACGTGCAAACGCTACAACGGCCTTCGAAGGTAGCGCCTTCTACTGGTCAACTTTTAGATGTATATATTAAACGAGTCAGCAGGTGAAAAGCAAATAGAAGTCATGTAAAATGGGGTCCGGTTTGTGGTTTATGGTGTGTGTGCCTAAAGAAGAATATGAAAAGAAACTCCGGTTAGGGCTAACAAGCTATGGTTCCTCCAAGAGCTTGCGAAGCAAATCTTCAGAACAACTTGATTCTACAAAAGCTTCAGGTAAACAAGTATACATAATTTGTTACACAGCTGGGAAAGTTATTTTTCTTGTATACAACTACCTAGTTCTGAAAGCTTAGAATAGATTTCTCGTGTATTTAGTTTGATGTGTTTTGCTTATTCTAATCAAATTCGATTCAACGATATTGAGTTTACTTTATTTATTTATTTCTGAGTGATTGTCGAAGTTTTCCTACATAAAGTATAACTATTATAGCATGTCTTTGTAAGCCTGATTTGGTGGTTCTGTTAAACGCTACCGTGTAATACTGTAAAGCATTCAGGTTTTTATTCTATTTGTACTCAGTTTTTTTTTGTTTTTGTAGTTCATCTATAACTGTTATCAAATAATACGTAATGTTATCAAGCTCTTCAGGTACCAATAAAAATATGAAATCGTATTAGTTCATTTCACGTAACACAACTCAACATATCGTGACCATATGATGACGACCAACGTATTTCACGTAACACAACCCAACATATCGTGACCATATGATGACGACCAACGTATTTCACGTAACACAACTCAACATATCGTGACCATATGATGACGACCAACGTATTTTAACTCTTGTCCATTGATTAATCTCAAGAGCTAGAATTACCCTCTTGTTATTAAGTTTTGATAATTTATCCAAGTTCTTAAACGTCCCCAGACTAACCAGTTGGTGATCAATACCAGATCTTATCAGCTCACGTGAGTTTATATCATTATCACTTGATTTTCTGTACCTCATCATCTCAGTTCATAGTAGCCAATGGTTTAACAGTTGTACAATTTTGACAGCTCAATTCAACGTATTTTTTGGCTGTGACAGAACATACTTAGTAATTAAACAAATATATTTTGTATTTGATTTACATCTGATTAGATAGCATATGTGTACATTATGTAATAACTTTTTTTAGATTCTCACCAGTTGGACTTCGTTGATTCTTCACTGACGTTTGTTCGTTTAATCTATGTAAAAATGTTTATCGTGGAGAAATTTACTATTGTTGTATCATTCCATCCACCAACCCCATCCCGCCAAAAATAAATAAATAAGAAGAAGAAAAAAGGCGACATCTTGAGTATTTTTAACATTAAGTTTGAAGAAAAACTTTGAAAGCAAAATGGTCGATCGAGTCGTGGTTATATATTTTTTTTTCCTGTACCCACAACTTCAACGGCACAAAATGTTAACATCAGGAGATTGTCTTAATGTTAGTAAAATCAAATGACAAAAATGTTTTTCTTTAACACCTAACTTCTAGCTCCTGATTGTTTCATACACGTACCCTAAACTTTCACCATAATCATATATATGCATTACAAGTAAAGAATATATGTATTTCAAAATCATTAAATAGTGTTAAGTCACGGTCATTACCTCAAAACGTAATTCACTCTGTTAATGTTATCAACGTTCTAGACTACCAACGACTGCAAATATTTAGCATCAGAAAGGTTGTATTATATATAGGCTAAATGTTACACAGAAAATTAGATTTTCCTTAGTTGTATAACCCTAAAAACATGCTAATATTTCAAAAACCAAAATGAAAGCGGATGAAAATGTTTACATCACATGAACAATTCAAATCAGGCTTGTGCTATCATTATTGATGACGGATACAGAGCTACATCACATACCTCTTTTTTTCTTATTAATTTTATCTAAATTGTGATTTGTAAAGATTCTCAGAACCTAGGTCATTTATTGTTTGAAACGATCTTATTTCACCTTTTCCTATTTTCTGAGAGATTATATGAAAACGGCTGATAACACAGGCCTGCGAATTTAAACTTCATACCAGTTGTTTTGGTTTCAGATTTTCTATAATTCAGCTATGCAGATTTTGATAATAATATTCATACATTTCTATCGCGTAAAGATTTTTTACAAATCGAGAAGAAAAAAAAATCTTACTTAAATCAAATGAAAATTTTGATTTACCACAATGAACATTTTTTATTATCATGTTTGCTAACTAAAATACAAAGAAGCTGAAGAAAAGGGAAGAACATTGAGGTCAAACGAATATGTATCATCATTCATCTTGATTCTTTTGAGTGAAATCTACGTCTTTTAGTCTCAAAACTACTTATTGTGGTCTTTCTTTTATGTATTGCGTTATGACGTTTTGTGAAAAATCTGAACGCGATGGAGAAAAATGGATATCATTTTTGAATTCAGCGTACATGAATTACTGTAGAACATGTAAAATTTTCAAGACAATAAAACCATCGCAGGCCTGTGTAATGTGTAGGGTAAGTTTGAACCATATACATTTTCATCTAAAGGCAATAACGGCACAGTCCCAGCAAGTCCTGTGAAACTTAAACTAAATCAAAGTAATGGACAAAAGTCCAATGCTTCCAAGACATCACTGGTCACGTGGAATTCAACAGAAGAATCCTCGTCGTCTGCAGCGAGGTCTATAGAATTAGAACAGTATTTAGCGAAGGAAGATTCTTTAGTCAAGGTAAGCACGCCTGGATAGTTCGATGAGATACTCGCATATGTTAAACGTCTGTTTGGGAATTTCGTTGTTAACTATATATATTGTTTTAACGTCTGTTTAACAATTTTATTGTAGGATAAAGTTTTCACTTTTTGTCCATCTCAGGCACGATGAGTTGATCATAGCTTGAGATGCATAACAGCCCTTTCAATAACTCTGGAGTTCACAACCACCTAAGCAAAGACTGTAACGAACAACCGAACAGTGAACAATTCAGAATAATAGAACCAGCGAAAGACGAATGGACACTAAGAAAAAGGAAGCACTCCTAATTCGTAACCTACAACCTAAGCTGAACAATGAACTAGCTACGTCACAGCATCTCAAACTATGATAAACTCATCGTGCCTGAGATGGGCAAAAAGTGAAAACTTCATCCAACAAACAAGTGTCAATATCTACTGAAATGGAAAACAATATATATTGTATGTTGTGTTTGAAACTCTGTTTAGCACTAGCGGTTCAGATTGCTTAAATATCCCTTTAGAAACTTTGCTGTGAACTGTTTATATTGTCTCTTCCGCGCTTTTGCTATCAGTTGTTTATACTGTTAGAATGTCCTTTCAGCAATTCTGCTGTTAGCTGTTTATGTTGTTTGAATGCATTTCAGCGCTTTTATTGTATGTATTATTTGAATGTCTCTTCGGTATTTTTGTTCTTAGCTGTTTATATTATTTGATTATTTCTTCAGTCTTTGTGTTCTTAGCTGTTTATATTATTTGAATATATCTTCAGTCTTTTCGTTCTTAGCTGTTTATTTGAATATCTCTTCAGCACTTTTGCTGTTAGCTGTTTATACTGTTTGAATGTTTCTCGAACACTGTTATTGTTGGTTGATTATATTGTTTTTTCAGAACTTTTGATCTTAGATAATTATACTGTTAACATCTTTTAGTAATTTTAATATTAGCTGTTTATATTTTTGTCATTTCAGCGGTTTTGCTGTAAGCTGTTTATGTAGTGTGAATGTTTTTTCAATCTTTTTTTTTCTTAGCTTTATATATTGTTGGAATGTTTATGCGGCGCTTTTAGTGTTAGCTGTTTATATTGTATAAATGGCTCTTCATCAGTTTTATTGTTATTTGTTTGTGTGTAGTTGAATGTTTCTTCAACACCCATTATTTTAACCGCTAATAAAATAAGAATGTCAACTGAGTAGTTTTGATTCAGTTGTTAATGTTATCTGAATGTCTTTCCAATCTTTTTGTTGTCAGCTGTTTATATTGTTAGATTATCTCTCCAGCGCTTTTGTTGTTAGCTGTTTATATTGTTTGAACGTTTCTACTACACTTTCATTCTCCGCTGTTTATATTGTTTAAATATTTATATTGCACTTTTCTTGTTTTAACTTCAAATTAAGCCACCAACTTAGATCGAAACTGAAATTATGCCTGGTATTAGTAATGATTATAACTAATTAAATATACATTTCTTACACTATTACTTGTAAAGACTAGAATGCATTATTTCACCAGTTGAGATTCCTCGCTGCTAACGATACTTTATTTGAATGTATCTTCAGCACTTATGCTAACAGCTAATTATAATATTTGAATGTATCTTCAGCACTTATGCTAACAGCTAATTATAATATTTGAATGTATCTTCAGCACTTATGCTAACAGCTAATTATAATATTTGAATGTATCTTCAGCACTTATGCTAACAGCTAATTATAATATTTGAATGTATTTTCAGCACTTATGCTAACAGCTAATTATAATATTTGAATGCCTCTTCAGCTCTTATGCTAACAGCTAATTGTAATATTTGAATGTCTCTTCAGCACTTATGCTAACAGCTAATTATAATATTTGAATGTCTCTTCAGCACTTATGCTAACAGCTAATTATAATATTTGAATGTCTCTTCAGCACTTACATTGCTAGCTGTTCATATAGTTTGATGTCACTTCAACCTTTCTGAACTTACAGCTTTTTATTTTGTTGGAATCTGTCTTCCGATTTTTTTGTTATTAGCTGTTTATATCATTGGAAGTTTCATAAGAATTTTTGTTGTAATCTGTTTATATTGTTTGATTATCTCTTCTGCACTTTTGTTGTCAAATATTGCTTGAAGGTCTTTTGCATTTTTATTGTCAGATGTTTATATTATTCGAACGTCTTGTCAGCTCTTTTACTATCAGCTGTTTATAATATTTGAATGTCTCTTTAGTGTTTTTGTTGTTATCTGTTTATGTACTTTGAATCTCTCTATATAAAACTTTTGTTGTTACCTGTCTATGTTGCTGAAAAGTCTCATCAGCCATTTGGTTGCTAATTTGTTGGAATATTTATTTAGCGCTTTTATTGTTTAAATGTATCTTCGGTACTTTTTGTGAGCTTTTTATATTGTATGAATGTCATTTCAACAAATCTGGCTATACCTTTTTATATTGTTTAAGTGTCAGTTCAGTATTTTAGCTATTAGCTGTTTATATTTTTGGAATATATTTCTAGCTCTCTCGGTATCAATTACATATATTCTTTCAATCTTTGTTAAGTAGTTTTGTTGCTAATTGTGTATACTGTTTCAATAAAAAGAAGTATAGTCAATCGCACAAGCGACAAAGATACAAAAATTAAAGAATAGGATACAAAATCCCCATATTTTATATATATAATTTTATTTCGAAACGCCATCTCGAAATGAAAGAATATACAAAACTTGGGGCTTTTGTAACCTATTCTATAATTTCTATATACTTCTTATTTGCTGTTATTATAAGCTATCTATGTTGTCTGAACAATATGTTTAATGCTTTTGTTGTATGCTGTTTATATTGTTTTAATATCTGTTTAGCGAGGAATCTACTGAAATGAACAATGAATTCAAAATAATAAAAACAACCTTTACAGTAGGCAAGTTTTATTTTAATAATTACAGCGTTTTGAAACAAAAAAGATCCCATAGTTTGTCTGTTACAGACTTTTTTTTTTGTATATGTTCCTAAAGTCGTTGCAGAGACTCACACTGCTTGCTCAGCTGTAGAATACCGAGAGTAGTAGTCGTACAGCTAGCTACCTGTTAGAGTGTAGATGAAAATATTTGAGTGACTGTTGCATGTACCGTTTCGACATGAGGGCTAGCCACGGTCTATTGACAAGAATAATAAAGTCCTAAAGTGATATTATCACTCCTTACCATAAAAAGTTAATTTGTAAGTGACTTAAATAAAAACGATAATAAATACAATTAACTTACTTAATCTAGTTCACACAATAACAGTTGTTATTCATGAAAACTGATAATATAAATAGCACCTAGATCACTACTACGTGTGTCGTGTCCCAGCCGGACTTGTGAGCCCTGATATTGGACGAAAGGCCTTGTCGACGTTTGATATGGAAGGTGTAGTTTGGTTGATATATTACACCATATTCTTCTGTGCTTTCACTCGTAGATTCTTAGAACTACTTTTTTATCTTACAAATGTACGCAAAAAATAAGAGAAGTCTTATTGGAACATTCTTTTGTTTACAAGAAACTATGATACAGTTGAAACAGCTTGTTCAAGCACACTAAGTAATTTTGTTAACTGTACGTCACATTCTCATGACACAGCTATCTTTTCACAACTACTCCTAATAAGTATTATATATCATATTGTTTAAACTGAGGACTTGTTTTAGTTTAATTATCTAACATTTAGTTTTAGGGCCAGAAAAATCCATGGTTGATGGGAAAGTCTGTTCTCAGATTTCAAAAGGTTACTACACACGTCAACGCTGCTCTTGGTTGGGTTTTGTGTAAAGAACAACACAAAAGCTAAAGTGACAAAACACTTTTATTAGAAGTTCTGTAAGAAAACATAATCCACACCCACAGTATAACAGTCGTTTTAAGATTCAGCATGGTAACAGAAAGCAACATAGGTAACTACAACGTTACATGGTTGGCCCGCTTGCAATGCGTTTCATTAATAAAAACAACGCGAATTCGAAATTATTACATATTTTTTAGCTTACACCTGTAACTGAGTTAAGCTTTTTTTGTTAGTTTTTCCACTTGTTATGCTGAAATATTTCCTTAGAGCTTCAAACAAGTGCGTCTCTCAAATTCAAGTCTGTCCCTGAAATGCCAAACCTATCCCTTCGTTTTAAACATAATCTCCCATGTTTCACCTTTCAGGAGATGAAAAATACTACAGGTAAAAATCGCACACTATGAGTTATATTAGGAATATTTTCTATAAAGTTGAAGATATAGAGGCTATACTGTATTTGAAAACAGTAGCCGTAATAGCATCACAAACGCTATACCATGGGTTTCCGGATTACACCAGTCATGAACCGCTGTCTGTGCCAGCCGGCGTGACTAAACAACTAGAAAAATGCCGAGCAAACGCTTTCAAATTAATTAGTCGCACTCATGTCTGTAACTAGGTACGAGAACACCGAGGTTGTTTTCTGGCTTTCTTCACTCACTCAGACACACACATACATATATATAATTAAACGTTATAGCTTGAAACCCAAGTTTGACATCGGTAGAATTTTAGCTCTGGTTACCATAGTGACTATAATTCTAGTACCAACGTAACTCAGAAAATTGTTATGCTCGTGTTAATAAGATGATAACGTAACTATTAAGAAATAAGTTAAAATATCAAAATAATCTACATAGTTATATAAAATTAAATATCAAGTTACACAACACACAAAACTAAATAACGTATATTTGATTTGTTAACTTCACTACACAACTGAATGTGAATACGTTTCACTGACTGCACCTTGTTAATATATTTATTATATTAGCATCCTTACTTCGTTGTCACATATTTCCAAGTTACATAACACACAAAACTAAATAACATGAAATATGTGACAATGAAATAAGGATGCTAATATAATAAATATATTAACAAGATGCAGTCGGTAAGACTTATTCACATTCAGTTGTGTAGTGGAGTTAACAAGTCAAATATCAAGTTACATAACACACAAAACTAAATAACATGAAATATGTGACAATGAAATAAGGATGCTAATATAATAAATATATTAACAAGATGCAGTCAGTAAAACTTATTCACATTCAGTTGTGTAGTGAAGTTAACAAATAAGATATTTCTATGCCAGCTCTTAATAACGTTGCATGTTATTCAAATAATTAAGTAGGCAAAATTATACACATTGTAAAATTCAGCTTACGTCACCAAACACACCAACCATGAAACTGGAGTACGTCACCAAACTCACCAACCATGAAACTAGACTTTGTTACAACCTTCGCTCGCTCTTTTCTGAGTTGACATATTGGACAATAGGGCATTACTAAGATAATATTAATCATCCTTTAACGTAACTTTTAAAACTTGGAGTACTAACAACAACAGCACACAAAATATGGCTTTACACCCAGTTAAAAGTATTTCTAACAGTAGTATATGCCACTTAAGAATAGGACCGGAAGTTTCCTGTTTAAATCAATGTTACTGTGGCTTTTAAACTCGTTTTACTGTTGACAGTAATATTAATAATGATGATGATGATCTCCTAGCTACACAGAGTTCACATTGATCATGTTTAACCTTCTAACTAACAATTAACTAAACACTTACTGAGCACTTTATGGACAAGCTAATAAAACCTTGTAGGTGTTACCACTTAAACCGACATTTTTCTACTAACTGATGACACATTTGAAAACCATAGTGTTAAAACAGTATTACAGAACTATACTGTGGAATTTTCTGGATACGCTTGGTGCGTAGTCCTTAAAATATACAATCGATAACGCAAGGTGTACGAAAAACGTCACGTGAATAATCTTCAATAATTATGATAAAACAAGATTTTCAGGAAACATTAGGAGTGTAATCCGTAAAATATAAAACCATTGATAGATAGGAATTGCTGAAACAATTACGAAAGCAATTCACAAATGGATGTTTTGTTAGGGATAAGCCAGATTCAAAAGAACTACAATGAGCATAATAATGTAATCTAGATTTTTCCCAGAAAAATATTATGGAATATCTCATAAAGTTCTACTCACTAAACCGTTGGAATTATTCTCGGAGCAGGTTCTTCAAGAAGAACTAGACCATCTGGAGATTCAAGATGCAGTGTGGACGTCATCCAGTGATGATAAGTATCACCAGGTAACTATCTGATAACTTGTCAAGATGAAGCAAAAAATTACAAATCAAAGTTTAAAGTATCAAACTCTTTAAAAATAAAATAAATAATCTCGTTTACTCCGCATGCTACTTAAAGAATAGAATTTACATTGTTCATGGTAATGATGTTAATTAGTTCTAAACTTGTTATGAATTTCAGAAAGTTTTTAAAACAACGCTATAAGTAAGTTTATAAAGAATAATGTTTTTTTCGCGTTATTTGTTGGTTTTTAGAGCCAAGCCACACTGGGTTATCTGCAGTATCCGCCGAACCCCGGATTTTAGCGTTGTAAGTCTGTAGACTTACCGAACCTAGGGAGACCTTGCGTTATGTAAAGATCAAGATAGAGTAATAAATTCTTCTTTTTAATGTGTTTTCAAAGTGATAGAAATATTACCACGAAAATTAGTTCGTGTGAAGAAAAGTTATGCAACAGTAGTAACGTATATTGGTGTCGTTCCCTTGATTTTACGAAGTTCCAGGTGTCTAAATAAAGATACCGATAAATTTACACGTTTCAATACACTTGTAGTCCTATAGATGGCAGGAGGAAGCGATATGTAACTGGATATCTCAGATACAGTGCAGCTGACATATTGTTATATACACTTGTAGTCCTATAGATGGCAGGAGGAAGCGATATGTAACTGGATATCTCAGATACAGTGCAGCTGACATATTGTTATATACACTTGTAGTCCTATAGATGGCAGGAGGAAGCGATATGTAACTGGATATCTCAGATATAGTGCAGCTGACATATTGTTATATATACTTGTAGTCCTATAGATGGCAGGAGGAAGCGATATGTAACTGGATATCTCAGATATAGTGCAGCTGACGTATTGTTATATATTCTTCTTTATTTTTACACTTAAGTTATTAGAATTAACTGTTTTTTAAGTGTTTTTCACTTTAACGCTTTTAGTAAATGTGATATTACTACGTGACCCTGGAGTTAGATTTCATTCACGTACAATTTACTTGGCCCGCATGGCCAGGTGGATAAGGCGCTCGACTCACAATCTGAGGGTCGCGGGTTCGAATCCGCATCCCACCAAACATGCTCGCCCTTTCAGCCGTGAGGGCGTTATAATGTGACGGTCAATCCCACTATTCGTTGGTAAAAGAGTAGCCCAAGAGTTGGCGGTGGGTGGTGATGACTAGCTGCCTTCCCTCTAGTCTTACACTGCTAAATTAGGGACGGCTAGCGCAGATAGCCCTCGTGTAGCTTTGCGCGAAATTCCAAAACAAACAAACAAACAATTAAATGCGTGTGATATATTTCTTAAAACACGTGCTTCAGTAGATCAAACTTCACCATCTATAAACAAGTATATCTTGTTTCATATAAGATGGCTCACCTCGGAAATCACTTTTAGGAAATTTCATTGTTGTACAGGTAACACCACTGTGATATGTATTGTACAGGTAACATCACCTAATACTGTGATATGTATTGTACAGATAATATCACAGTACTGTGATATATATTGTACAGTTAACATCACATAGTACTGTGATATGTATTGTACAGATAATATCACAGTACTGTGATATATATTGTACAGTTAACATCACATAATATTGTGATATGTATTGTACAGTTAACATCACATAATATTGTGATATGTATTGTACAGGTAACATCACATAGTACTGTGATATGTATTGTACAGGTAACATCACTTAATACTGTGATATGTATTGTACAGATAATATCACAGTACTGTGATATATATTGTACAATTAACATCACATAATATTGTGATATGTATTGTACAGGTAACATCACATAGTACTGTGATATGTATTGTACAGGTAACATCACTTAATACTGTGATATGTATTGTACAGATAATATCACAGTACTGCGATATGTATTGTACAGGTAACATTACATAGTACTGCCATGTGTATTGTTCAGGAATACATATCACAATACTATAAGATGTTACCTGAACAATACACATGGCAGTACTATGTGATGTTACCTGTACAATACATATCACAGTATTAAGTGATATTATCTGTACAATACATATCACAGTATTAAGTGATATTATCTGTACAATACATATCACAGTATTAGGTGATGTTACCTGTACAATACATATCACAGTACTATGTGATGTTACCTGTACAATACATATCACAGTACTATGTGATGTTAACATGAATATTTATTTCACTGTAGGTCTATTTTCCCTGTGAAGCAGGTGGCCAGAGCGATTTTGTACTCCAGCATCTCACGTCGCGTGGTCTCGGGCGACGAGATAGATCAACTATTGGGTAAGTAACGTGATCCTAGTCAGGGAAATGGATCATATAGCCAATGAGCTCTGTGTTACTGGTCAGCTAAAATAATCAAGTATTCACTAAACCCCTGTCTCCTCTAAAAAAAAAAAAAAAGAAGTAAAGTGTGAAGTGATCTGCCTGATATAATGTTCAGATTGTTAAAAGCTTTGAGATAATTATCGGGTGTTGAAATAATTATCAGAAATGCGATTTACTCTTAAATGAAAACGATTTTTAATAGAGTGAAATAACTAGTACTGTGACACTTTAAAAATCTAGAGGTTAAAATTTTGAGTTATTAAATAATTATAACTTCTAAGTATTGAAATACCTAATTATTTTGTCAGAGTCATCCCATGTGCCGTGTTCTATCGTCACGACTCTACGACAACAGAACCTTCTAGCAACCAATTTACAGACACCGATGACACGTGAGTAACCACCATATCATTATAAACGGGGATATGTTTGTAGTCTTTGTAGCGTGAGGTGAAAAGGACTTAACAAAATATGGCTTACTAAGATTTGTAAATCCTTATCCATTAGGAAGATGATACATCAGTCAATGCCCTCTACTGGCGCTCTCTAAGAACTACTTCAAATATTTATTACTTAAATATATTGAACATATTGAAACATTTTCGCGACTAATGAAATATCAAGTTGAGAAGTTCCAATTAATTTTGCTATAAAACTTTCATACGTATTTTTAAATCTTCTATTTGTTCTTTCTCGTTCTAAAGCATCGAATATTCTTCATATATCCTCAAGAAGGAGACAACTATGTGTCCACCTTCATGACTTTGCAAATAGCATATCGCATAGCTTTTGACGAATGGGTCAGTAGGCGGTCATTTTTTAAAATATCAGTGCAGGATTTTTCAAAAGTGTCTCACAACTGTGGGCACTCCTGGTGTGTCAGCGCTAAGTTTACGGACTTACAACGCAAAAATTCGGTGTTCGATTCCACCCTGGCGGACAGATTGCAGATAGCGCATTGAGTAACTAGCTTTGCACTAAGAAAACAACAACAAAATTGTGGAATTCTCCAAATCAAATTTATCAGGCAGTTAAACCATATCAGAAGTTCCGTAAAAGCATGCCATACTAAGTGCACTTTTAGCAGTTGTAACTTTGGCTAAATAAAATCTGAGTGGTAACAAAATATGAATTTACACCTCAAATTCTACACTTTGAATTACATTTTTTTTAACCTGCTATGAACATTAAGCTACTTTCATTCCATAAACGTTAAACAGATGTTAACCGGATCATTTGTTGCACAAAAAAGAGAAGAAAACAATGTGTGTATGTGTTTGTATATGGCGAACTTAAAAGTCATTACGTTTTTTGAAAAGTAGTTGCCAAAGGCAAAGCTGAAACTAGAGGAAGGAGTTAGGGGAATACTGCTTGGATAACTTTTTAATTCTTATATTTAGTATGACAGTTTGGACCTATTTTGATGTAGTGGGGGCTAAGATGATGAAAACTAGGAATGATCACAAACAAATTACAAAAAGCAGTTTAATGACCAACTTTAATGCCTTTTTAGTTTTAGCTTAATCTGCTAATTTCATATTTCGAGTATATAACCAGCTATCAAATTAATTTTAGAATCTTGATTTGTTTATAATAGTAATTATTTTGGACCAAAAACTCAATCAAAGTTGAAGAAATTTGCAAACATATAAAAATTATGGTTTTATTTACTTATTTATATGTTGTTAAGTGTTTTCTTGTGTGTGTTATAAGCCTATAAAATTACTGCTGAGCCACTTGGGGGAAGGGGCGAAATCTATGAGGGAAAGGTGTAGTTATAATTTATTCATCACATTGGATGGTGTATACTTTACAATTTTATTAGTTTCTTGGATTAATAATGAAAGCTATTTCAACTTGTTTTTCATATCAGCATAAAATTACCTATCCGACCTTCCCTGCACTATCATATGTGGTTATGTTTAACTTTTTGTTCTTAGATGAAGACAACAAAGACATCTGCCAACATAGCAAACACGTGAACATTTTCTTTTTCATCAGATCAATTGGAATAAGATTAGCTGTTACATCGCAATTATTATTGTCTGGTAATATCACTAGAGGTACAGTAATAACGTTGCTACTTTTGTAGTAATGATAGGCCTTTCGTTTTCTACATGGTTTATATACTTGTTTTTACTCTAGCGACAGTGATGGATCTACTAATTCACCCAAAGCTTCCAAGGCAAAGAATGATATAAAGCGTGCCAGGAAAGCTTTCAAGTCAATGCAGAAGAGGTTTCTGAAGACGGTGACAGCTAGACTTACTGTTGCTCAGGTCTGCGCTTCTTTAATTAACAGAGAAAGTTTTATGAAATTACTGTTCAGCATTTCTAAGTTTTGGAGTATATGTGTCGTATGTTATTCATTTGTCTTTGGATCATATAAAACAATAAGTCTTACAGAATGTTTATATACCATCAAGCGATTGGATCATTTAAAACAATAAGTCTTACAGAATGTTTATATATTGTCAAGTGATTGGATCATATAAACAATAAGTCTTACAGAATGTTTATATACCGTCAAGTGATTGGATCATATAAACAATAAGTCTTACAGAATGTTTATGTACCGTCAAATGAGTTTTTCTCTTGATTAAGACATGTTAAACTGAATTAACTTTCCACGTTAAAAATTCATTTTTTATAAACATCTCACAAATTAGCTCCAGTTATCAAATTATTCAGAAGTTTAAATTAGCTAGTCCAGTCGCGATTTAAAATATTTTTAAACATTCTATTGAAATCTCACCTCATTTATACTAATCTTATTAGTTCTGGTAGCGAGAACTGTTTCTTATTGTTAACTCTACGCTTCTTTGTCTCATCTAACCCTCTTTCATCAACTTCATTAATTTACATATCTGACAGATTTACTGTGAAGAACTAGCGAAGTAACGATGATAGTGGAAGTTCTGAATGGCGCCTAGAAAATCCCATTTATGTTTTTGTTTATAGAAATCAGACGTATTTCCCGAATTAATGACATTCAAGTTCAATAAAATATTTTACAGAACTCCGGGAACTATTGACAAATACGAACTTCGATAATCAAGAGAGCTTATACAGCATTTTGAGTCATCATATTTTAGCTCTAAATCACATTTCTAACTTGTTTATTCGTTTTAGCGTTTATTCAACATGAATATGCACGTTGTTTTCAGGTTGTTGATGGAATACGGGCCAACGCAGTTTTGTCATTCGACTTCGTGATGTTTATAATATTGGCCAGGTGGGTATTGATTAGAATTATTTTATATTTGATGTTCTCTAAAAGTTCAAATTTATACTATTTTATTTCTTAGAGAATTCTATAGGATTTGTTTAAGATTAAGTCCTGGTATTACTCAGCAAAGTTTTCGTGTAACAAAGTTACTAACCTTAAAAAGTGCCTGTAAGACTACATGTACTCATTGTTGACAACGTAAATACCTGTAGACAGTACCAGAGTCGTCTGTTTATAAGATAAGTTAATACATTATTAGTAAAATAAATGACTACATTTTTTCGATCTTTATAATAGAAATAAAAGTCATTATTCTAGTGTCATGAAGGATGTAAATAGATGGAGCTGCTAGCAGCGAGATTTATAAATGTTTACTTTCCTAGTTAGTTAACTTACGTATTGCAATTTGGTAAATATTGTACTTAAAGTGTTTCTTTTATAAAACGAGTATACACAACTACCTAATAATTGCAGATGATATTTTATTTGGAGTTTTTGTTAAGGCAGGAGAATAACAAATGTATGGAATGTACAGATTTAGGGAATCACTTTTCCAACACACAGTTTTGCTTTATTTTTTAAGTCTTCTAAACTCTTGCAGTGAGAGAGTCGATTTAAGACTGAATATGTTATTAGAAAAAACAAACTGAGAATAGACTTTCACCTTGGGAAATTTGCAGGGAACTTTACTTTCTAAAATATTAACGAAGCTTTCAAACATAGTTACAAAATCTCGATCTAGCAAGTGAAATTTTGTAAACGACCGAACTTCAAATTATTTACCCTAATCCAGGAGGCTCTTTAAAAATGTCGGTTGTATTGTACAAGTGTGCATAAGGAACGGTTATAACAGAGATGTCTGAATAACCCTGATAACTAATCATAATTAGACGTACGCTTATGATAGTAGTGGCTACATCTGTTAGAGTTTGGATATTGTTTTTTTTACCACCTTACTTGAAAATAGGTTTTAATAAATTTACTAGCATATATCCCGTCAAAAATGACGGGGCAAGTACCCCCACCCCATACTACACCCTAACCTCACATTTCATAGCAAACTGAAATAAATATATTTTGTGAAATCAAGCTTGACCAACAAAGAGACTGAAAAGTGCAGTGTAGCCAAACGTCTGTAAGTTCCTTTGTGAGCCAATCAAAAGCAAGATAATTCATGAAATGAATTTGTGGCGAATTCATAGAATAATTATTGGTAAAAATCAGTTATCTTAACAATTTTTAATATAGGATAGCATTATGGTAACACTCCGTTCCAACAATGGCTTTTATGTCATGTTGCTTAGCAACAAAATTATTGAATCGGCATGTTTACTTTCATGTTAAATTTTATGGACTTGGCTCTAGGATAGGTGATCCCACTTTACATATTTACTTTAAGCTTATTATACCAACACTAACTACACTTATAAGGTTTCACGGCAACCCCCCCCCCCTCCTTCACGGCACCCTAGCACCCCCGTCACTAAAATCGTAATGGGCAGACGGTAATCGAACTGTTCTATCTGGATAAATTCATTTTGGCTTTTATGACTCTTTCTTTTTCAAGAATGAATAATGACGTGACGTGACACACAATGACTTTTATATAGATTAGGTGAAGCTAAAGATGTGCTGAAAACTTTGTAATCATAATTATGCATTATTTTTACAAAGTGCAAATAAAAAAACGCATATGATCAAAGTTTTACGTTTACTTTCTATAAAGGAACTGTGTCGTCAGTGTTCCCAAAATACTAGAATCCAATTAAACATATTTACATTTATAATGCACCTTAAATATTCATTGTTAAATAGCAAAAATAGTGATATATGTATATATGTGGCACTCAACCGTTTAAAAACGTTCTTGGTAATTATTTTTTGTATTGTTTTTTGTAGCATGATTGCTGCTTTGGGTTTAATGGAAAACAGTTCAGTTGTTCTAGTTGCCAGCATGTTGATATCACCTCTCATGGTAAGATGTTTTTTGTTTTGTTTTTTTACAAAGTATAAAGAAAATTTACAATAAAAAAACTAAATAGCTTTCAGCTGGTTAGTCCATCAGAAAACAAAAATATATTACATCATCTGGTGGATTGAAAAAATTTATAATTAATAAATTTGAATACTAGTTTAAGTAGAACGCTGATCAAAAAACGTTTCAGACGTTCAAATTCGCGAGGCAAACATTGGGAAAACTAAAAATGCAAGAAGAAAAGATACAAGTGAAATGTTTGTGTGAAAGAAAAAACGGTGTGGCTTTGGTAAAGTCTTGGCCACCTTCTACGACTGATGAAAAAGAAAGTTTATTGGTTGTTTGTTTCTGGAGAATGGTGTTTATCTGGCATTTCTGTTGAAATACACCAGATATTTAATTCATAAATGCACGGCGCAGATAACTCATTGTGTAGTTTGTGCTTAACAACAAATAAACATTCTCGAACTTAGGTCAAGACATTATAGTGTGCTCAACATTTTCTGGTAATATCTAGCTGTATGGTAGAAGGTGGAATCCAGTTAGTCAAGATCAAAAAAGAACGACAAGAAATATAAATGGTAGTAAGTGCGTCGTTTATACAGATTTCAATGATGTAAGAACAGAAAAATAATATGAAAGGTGGAGTATATAAATAGATCTGGTATTAAAATTGGTATTTAAATATTGTAAATAATTATAATACAAATTTATATTAAAATACAACTGAGGACTCTGACTTTCCTTTCTGGTGTATGGCGGGTATCTGGTAAGTGTTCTTAACATTTGTTTCGAGATTGTGGAAAATTTTAACCAAGGTAAAAAAAGCATTGTATTGAGAAATATTATTGTATTAAAATATATTATGAAACTGAAGCTAATAGAACGTGGTATTTATCTGCTAATTCTAGATAAAAAAACCCAAGTGTATCAGCCTTCAAACTGGAAAGAGCATAAACGTGTTTCCAAGTTGTGGACCATTATGATGCTCATAGGTGTAGCAGATTTTTTGAAATAAAAAATATTGTTGAAAGTACATTGGTCATGAAGTAATACGTTATATTCAAAGTAACCAATCATCTTATAGAAGAAAATTCCACGTCAACTACACTTGTCAGAAAAGAAGCCAAGAAAAACTCACACATATATATATATGAACAACCACTTTCTCAAAGAAATGTTAGAATATCAAGTCACTACTTCAATAATAGCAAATAAACTACATTCTTAAAGACGTTCAAGCGAGCAATTCCAACACTGTAAAATATTTTAAAAACCTCGGAGTCTTGAATATCTCGTTTTAGTTTCCCTTTTATATTTTTACAAATGTTTATTTATGTTTTTCAATTTTGACGGTCAAAAACGTTTGGGTCAGCGGGACAAGCAAGTGGTACTCTGGATTTTTAAGTGTAAATTGTTTCCACGCAGTTAAGTTAATTTTGTCTTTATATAGTTTATTCAGTTCCAAATCATACACTCATACTCAGTGGAAGTATATAGAACAGTAATTTTGTCTGAAGGGGTTTCATTTTTTCAGAAAAAAAATACAAAAAACATTTAATAGTTTTTTTTTGTATTAATTTAAGAAAGGATCGCCATAGAAACAAAATCAAGTTTTTTGAACGACAGTCTACTTCAGTTATTTGTGGTGTGAACCATAACAATTATTGCTATAACAAATGACCTGTACACATAATGTATCGACCACTACTGTATTTGTTTTGTCACACCCGGCCTTATAAGCTCTGAATTTAACAAAACGTGTCATCGGCAATGTATATGGCGGACATATTGTGATTGAACTACTAGAGGACTAATTAAAGAATTTAATATTAAAACTGTAAGAGGCTTAATATTCATGTCTTACGACAAATGCAATTAAATAAGATTAAAATTAGTTATTTATTATTTGTTTTTAACGTAACCTTTTCTATTATACTTTTGAATTAAACGCAATTTTTCTTTAATATATCATACAGGGTCCTATATTGGCAGGAACGTTTGGTGCGGTGATCGAGGATAGATCTTTGAGAAACCAAGGTTTAACGAACGAAATAATTGGTTTATCTGTGTGTGTTGTTTTTGGTAAGTTACCACAATGTTGAAACATAAAGTAGAGCAATGCTTTCAAACATAAACTGTTGTTTGGTTAAGATTCATGCAATTTTGATAAACCACAAAATTAGCGAAAAGTGTTAGTCTATTAAGTGTGATAAAAATCACACTATAAGTGAAAATATTTTCTTACAGTTTGTTTGTTTATTTTAGCGTAAAGCTACAGAATAGGCTCTCTTTGCTCTGTCCACCACGGGGAATCAAACCTCGGATTTTAACATTACGATTTCTTACAGATAACTCGTATTAAGCCTGTTAATAGTGATCTAAATATTCTTCAGTATATAGTGTGTTTCGTCACACTTGCGAGTCTTAACTAGACTTGACAGAAAGTAGTATTTGTTTCCAAGAAAGATGCATTTTTTCTTCAGCAGGGGTATAAGGCTACTAAAGACTCTAACTGGGTCTAGGGTGCTAAGTGACGAATTTCATTACTTAATACACGAGTTTCAGTTTCTCCCGTTTCATATGTTTCTTAAAATGGCAATGAAATAATACTTTCGAAATGATTGATATAACAATATTAATTAAAAACTTAAAATCAATAACCGCTAATCCTGGCATATCTATATTATTAGTTTCCAAAGAAAATGTAACGTTGTTTCTGCATCATTTACTTGTAAATGAATAAAATGTTAATTCCATCTCCTTCTAATTTTAGTTCTTAGGGCGCATAAGAGTCTTTTATCAACGGATCTGTTGGCTTTTGGTATAATTTATGAAGTTTCATCATAAAAATTTTAACAAAATTATACTATATTAATTTTATTCTATTAAGATAAATTTAGACATATTTTCAAAAAGACAAACAAACTGTTATTTTAAGCTACAGGTGACTGTATTAAGTGGATCACTTATATGAATAATAAAGTTTATTTTTAAGATTGAAACACCTATTACATAAAACACTTAAGTGTTTTTAATGGTCAACAGTGTGTTACTATATAAATTATTAGCAGAGTTTTAAACTAAAGTTTATGATTATAGTCAAAATATTTCTCTCTTCTTGTGGAAACGGGCGTGGCCTAGTGTTAGCATGCCAGACTTTGAATCCGAAATCTATAGTTTGTGTTCTGTTGCCATATTCGTGCCCAGTACTTTGTGCATATGGTTGTGTTATAAGAGTGGTGGTCAAATCCCACTATTCGACTAATGTAGCTCAAGAACTGGCGGTGAGTGCTGTTGACTAGCTACCTTTCCTCTAGTCTTGTCAGTTTGAAATTAGGGACGGCTAGTGCATACATCCCTTGTTTAGCTTTGCACAAAGATCCAAATAAACATATTATTGTTGTATACAAACTAAAATCATGAATTCTGTTGTAGACTGAAATTCTTAGGGCAGATATGATATCGAGAGTGTGAGTATATGTATTTTATCTTGAATAGGTTTTCTGTTCGGTCTTATATGTGGAAACTTCAGCGACACTTGGGGTCAAGGAGAGTGGCCAACATCAGAAATGGCTGGCAGGTTTGTCAAAACATTCTAATTAGTATTTTAAAATAACGTGATTTAAGTCAGAGGTTCCCAAACTTGTCTTGTCAAAACATCCTAATTAGTTCTGAGTATTTTAAAATAATGTGATTTAAGTCAGAGGTTCCCAAACTTGTCTTGTCAAAACATCCTAATTAGTTCTGAGTATTTTAAAATAATGTGATTTAAGTCAGAGGTTCCCAAACTTGTCTTGTCAAAACATTCTAATTAGTTCTGAGTATTTTAAAATAATGTGATTTAAGTCAGAGGTTCCCAAACTTGTCTTGTCAAAACATCCTAATTAGTTCTGAGTATTCTAAAATAACGTGATTTAAGTCAGAGGTTCCCAAACTTGTCTTGTCAAAACATTCTAATTAGTTCTGAGTATTCTAAAATAACGTGATTTAAGTCAGAGGTTCCCAAACTTGGACATTTTCCCAAGATTCTCACAATCTTCGGACCAAATTGTAACTACAATTAAGTTCTGCTAAGTTACAACTAAGCTAGAGTTTTCTGGTTGAATAAAGGCTGACATCTGTCTGGCTTCCATGAAATGACCCAATGACATCGCGGGGGTTCGTGAATTACAGTTTGAGAATCTGCGCTTAACGTTATAAACATAATTATAATAATAATTGTTTAGAAATATTACATAGAAATATTTAGTACTCAAGTTTTTTCGTGTTCTTTATTACTAGGGGCTACTGGAGAAGCTTATGGGTAGGCTTGCTGATTGCACTGCCCTCTGGCGCCGGTGTGGCTCTCTCAGTGCTGGGCGGAAACGCTGGATCTTTGGTTGGTGTGGCTATTTCAGCCTCTCTGTTGCCTCCTGCAGTTAACGCTGTACGTTTATCTAACGTATATTTACAGTAATTGCTATAAAGTACACTATTTGAATATAATTTTAATATTGTTATTGTTTTAAAACCATTAACTTAGTCAACTTAAAAGTTTAAGCATTTTCCTTTTGTGTGTCTTCATCCTAGTGGCGTATATTGAGAAGTTTTATGAACTATTGAACCGTGAATGTCCTCGTTCTCATGACATTTTTATATCATATCAAATTGTGTTTGCTTACGTCTCCATCTTAAAATTGTATGTATTTTTGCTCCTTAGTATTCTCTCACTACTTCATTTTCTTAATTCAAGATTTGTCAACTGATATTTATAATAGCAGCTTGTTACCATGTCACAATCAGTTATCAAAACTCGTTTACTGCTGATAATTGTAATTATGTTGGAGCCGATCAATTATCAAACCTCGCGACACATCTGTAGATTTAATTCTGTCGAAGTAAAGTCCCTCCCGTGACTAACCTACATCTTTGTTATAAAAAGGAAAACTATTGCCCATAAAGCTAGAAATTACTTCCAGCGCATTTTTATTGAATATTAGTACTGCTGGAAATTTTGAATTTCTCTGTGTATAGTAAATTTACTTTTTGTATTACATAAATCAAAGTAAAATATCATAACTTTTCTCCCTCTCTGTATTTCAAGAAAAATAGTTCAGTTTTACAAGAAGAATATCTCAAGGAACTTCATGGAGTTAATATTGCTTTTAGAACACGTGCTTACAAGTTACTTTAAACAAAAAACATTTTTCTATTGTATCTTAGGGCATTCTGTGGGCTTTGGCGGTGCTGAAAAACTTGCGTTCATTGTCAGAGAAAGTCATAACAGTAAGTTCCGAGTTCCCATAAGATATATTCTGTCACAGTGGATTATGGGTAAATTATTATATAACCAGAACTGGCTGGGTTATGGTCATGATTGAGATAATGGTTAGATTAACAAATTGTTTGACAACAAATATTACGGTGTGAACTAGCTTGAATTAGTGAAATGTAATTTTTTCATCATTCATATATATGTATTAACATGTCTTGATAAGGGTAAACATTTTAAAACAATGTTATTTATTTAGTTTAACAACATATATTATTAAGTTATTATTTTCTTGAATCAATCTGCTCCATTATTCAGAAGAACTAACGAACAAGCAAGTAAACTTTCAAAGTTATTTGCTTGCATAATAAAGTTTAAATTGACTAAATTTACGACTGAAAAATTAGAAGTAAAACTTCCTACGCAAGAGTGCCCCAGACTAACAGGATTTGCGTGCTGCGTTAGTGAGCCTAATAACCTACGCAAGAGTGCCCCAGACTAACAGGATTTGCGTGCTGCGTTAGTAAGCCTAATAACATTTGCTGACAGTAGTTACAATTTACTTGACTATTGAATGTGAATCCTAAGTGTAATCGTTGCAAGCTTCAAACTGCTGTAAGTTTAATGCCATTACAAGTTATTGAAAGCTTAATGCTATATCTTAATGCAAAATTACGATAGCTTATTACATTTCTATGAACTCAATAAGAGTAAACTTAACACTGTTTCTTAATGCTAACAGGAATAAGCTTAGTATTGGTGGTAAAAAGTAAGTTTGATTGCTTTTGTCAAAGAAAAATTGTAATCTCAGTTCTGTTCTATGATGATGATGGTTGATATAAACTTAATAATGTTTGGTGTAGTTATTATTGTAAGTTTAAAATACGGCATAAACATAATATTGTGAGCAATGCGTTTCGTGGACGTAATAGAAGTAAGCTTAAAGTTGTTTCCAGATGAAAGTAAGCTATTTTTCGTGATATGCGATGTTCTTTGTTTTTATGACATGTTTGAAAGTATGTTTTATAATAAATTGTACAGAGTATTACATATATTAGTGCATGCATTATGTTAACATGCGCGATAACACCTCCTTTCCACACAAAGTTGTATATATATATATAAGCTATATGTAAGCTAAGGACATTATGAGAAGAGAAAAACAACAATGAGGAGTAAACAACCAAAAAATCCCCCCAAAACATCAAGATACAATTATAAAATCATCTTAGCTTTCAAGATACCTGCAGAAGTAGGACTAACAAATCAGATGTACTATATATATATATATATAAGATTTCAATTCAGTTTGCACATCTTAGAATTTTTATATTTAAAATGAAAAGCAGATCTGAGTGTTGAAACCCAGAACGTTTTACATCCAAACCATCTTTCATTGTTTACAACCAGCTGCTGAAATAGAATAGGCAGACGAAAACAGTGGGTTATTAAAACAAACAAATGAGGGTAATAGGTTAAATTTACCCTGATACATGCATGTTCCCAAAAAGTCAAAATGTTATTCAAGTTATAAGAAACTAATTGACAATATAGATGGTAAGTTTCGTAAAATAATATTATACTAAAGCATTTCCAACCAAAGTTCTCAATAGCATTGACGGTTTTCACGCTTACTTGATATGTTAGGTTTATAAAATTGCTTTGGCTTTCTTTATATGTATACGTGAACATAGATATGTAGATTAAAAAACGGTTACCTGCTACATATTAAATTACCATGTGGTAAATTAAATTATATTTAACAAAAAAGAAAATAGATAATTTAGTGTTATATTTTTATTTAAAGGCAGAAATAGCTGGCAACATCTACTTGACGAAGCCATCATTAGTGCCCCCTCGTGATTACCAGATCATGTACTCCTTTCGCATGGACAGAGAATGTGCAATTCTGGGGCTCATCAGTTTGTTACTGACCTTAGTCAACATTTTATGTATCATAATAGCTGCAGTGTGTGTTCTGAAGGTAAGATATAGTGTATTGTAGCTCTGTTGTATGTGTATTGTTAGTTTTTACAGTAGCTGCAGTATGTGTTCTGAAGGTAAGATATATTGTAGTGTAGCTCTGTTGTATGTGTATTGTTAGTCTTTACAGTAGTTGCAGTATGGAAGCTGAAGGTAAGTTTTTTATAAATTGTGTAATAGAGTTACTGTTATCTTTGTATTGTTAGTGTTCAACACGTTGTTACTGTAGCTGCAGTAAGACGTTCTAAAGATAATTGTTTGATATAATGAGTCAGTTTGGTAGAGCAATGTTATTAGTTATATTTTGCAGTCATTCCCATTTGAATTGAAGTGACTATTTACGACAACAAATGATTTAGAAATATACATTTCCTGGGAATTTATTTAGTGAGGTAACTAATAACTTATTCATTGTCTAGCTCCAAGTCTTTGTGATTATAGGACAGTGTATTGTTCAATATTTTTTCCCTCGTAGTTGATTGTTAATAATCTCAAAGCAGAGTTATTGTATTCCACACTAGCACCGCTTGGTGGAATAAAGAGTAACAACATAAAAATGGCATGGAAATTTGGAAATTTATTTTTCTTGCTGTAAAGATGTTCGCAAGTTTGGATGTCATATCAACATCATGGGCAGTCGAGTGTTTCTTCCATAACCCCACTTCCTGATTGAAAGATGAAGCGGAGGGAAGAGCATCGTCAAGTGCGACTTTATTTACTCTTTACACCCAGGAGTGAGGGTGGTCAGAGTTGAAAGCAGTAGGAAGATCCCTTTTTTTTACAAAAATATAAAACATCTTAGAGCGAGATTAAACTAGAATTAAAACATGGTATAACTTTTTATACATTAACGTGACATCATCAGCTGTAACTAAAAATCGCTCAACACGGTTTATTTGATACATATATCTATAGATAAACACACAACAATTGGTGACAAGATAATTTAACAAATTTAAAATAAAAATAGTTAAATGCTTTTCGTTAGGTTCATAAAAAGGTCTTCTTTGTTTCATTAAAATTTTATCTTTTATAGTCCGTTTGAACTACTTTCATAACAAATAAGTCAAAAATTATAGGTTTTATGGATACTTTCATGCCCTAAATCTTTAAAATTTTGATAAACATGTGATGAGCTTGACGTCAGTCGTTAATCCACCTAACCTGTGCTCAAGCGAAGCCAGCGCCTGAAAGCATTAAGAGGAGGGGAAATCAAAGGGCACAGTAGAGCGGATAATTTCAAAGTGTTCTAAAATGTGGATAGTTTGTTTCTTTGATTTCTAGCCGCGGCATAGCGGCTCATAGAATGGCTTTGAGTTTTTGTTTTGAACTACAAACATTTAGCTCATAACTCCGCCATCTCTTGACCGATTTGAGATTTAATTACAGTTTTGGACCCAGGAGGTCAAACCTTTTCGATTGATGTATTTGACCACACCCAAGGTCTCATAGGTTAATTTACTCTAATCCTGCCTAAAAGAATTTCAGTTTCAGGTAGACTGGTAGAGATCCTAGTGAGTAATAAAATCGAATCGAGTATACGCATGCCCCACGCTTGGTATTACTGTCGCACAAAAATATAGCTAACAAAAAAGGAAAAAATGGTCTCATAGATTAATGTACTCTAATCCTGCCTAAAAGAATTTCAAGTGTCGCGGCTATAGAGATTTCCCTCTTGTTTTGTTAAGCACAAAGCTGCACATTGGGCTATCTATGCTGTGCCCACCACGAGTGTCGAAATCCAGTTTTTAGCGGTGTGAGCTCTCATATTTGTCGCTGAGCCACTGAAGGGCTAATAGGGAAAGAGAGAGAGGATAATTCTAAATTTTAGAGGTTGATAAACTCATCGATTTATAACGGGCAGATGGGTTGTTATCTGGTTCGCTTGCGATCCACCAGAAAGTGTTTTTGATTATGAATATCAAGTTGTGCCATATTATACCATTACACTACCATTTCACTCTCCGTAGTTCATAGCGCGATATTAATTTCTGCCTTATCGTTAGTTTCCATTTTATAGTTTCATTCCAATAATAATAAACAAAATACGTTGTTTGAATACGTGAAATTACGATTTTAAGTTTTACAGTTTGAATATTTGTATAGTGTACTTTATGAATAGTCGTATACTAGTTTAACTTACAAAGTACATATAGGCCTGTTTTCATATTTACATGCAACATACAAACTCTAGATATTTATCCTGTGCATCGTATTCATATCCATACACTAAGTTAACTTAAAAAATACACAGTCCTGAAACGGACTGTAGCATATAGGTTATCCGTAAAATATTTAAAGTGTAGATATTTTCGACTGAATAATATAAACTAAAAGTATTGAACTATATATATATATATATAAAATTTAGCAATACGACTAAATTAATGAATCATGCCATATATAGCCGTGTATGAATGTGTAAGAAGTAACATTTTATTTATTACAGTTTCTTTAGCACACTTCCATATACTTGTTTAACATACAATCTACGAAGAGGACTGTTTTCCATGCTAACTTAAATCATTCAGGCTCTAGAAATATATCATGTAAAAGCATTAACTGAAGTTGTATGTTCAAATGAAACGGACAATATTATTGTATACTAGCTGGAGTACCCGTCCCCTGGACGAAAGTTATGTTAATTCATGAATAATGAAAGGTTATCTCAGGTTTATTCCCTTATTGTATACTAGCTGGAGTACCCGTCCCCTGGACGAAAGTTATGTTAATTCATGAATAATGAAAGGTTATCTCAGGTTTATTCCCTTATTGTATACTAGCTGGAGTACCCGTCCCCTGGACGAAAGTTATGTTAATTCATGAATAATGAAAGGTTATCTCAGGTTTATTCCCTTATATGTTATTGTAAAAAACACAAAAACACAAAATATGAAACCGCAAATTAGTAAGTATCTCTCCATGGACCCAATAAACCTCCATACCAAATTTAGTGATGATCCGTCCATAGGAGGTGAGGTAGTGGTAAAAAACGAAAATACTCCCATAAAAACCGCAAAATGCAAAACTGAAAATTTATATTTATTCCCGCATGGAACTAATGAACCTCCATGCCAATTTTGGTGAAGGTCCATCCACACTCTGCGAAGTAGTTGTATGGACATACAATAGACAGTACTATTATATTTAAGTAGATTCAATTCGTAAAACAAGGGGTTTGAATAAGTAAAAAATTAATATTTTATTTCATTGCGTTTCACTATTTTTATGTCGTACTTCAAGGTTGGCCCCCCAGTGCACAGATAGCCCATTGTGTAGCTTTGTGCATAACTACAAACAAACAAACTTCAAGGTTTACACACATGTTAGTTTAATTTACAATTTAGTCCTGATAATATAAGACTAATATATCTTATTAGTATAAAACCCTCAAACTCTGGATATTTATATTATGTATCATATTCACATATTTACACTGATTCAACTTAAAGTCTACGTAGCCCTGAAGTGTACTGTTGAGTGTCAATTTATACCTACAATTTTCATACTTTACATAAATATCGTGTATCACATTAACTAACTATAATGCAATACATATCCACTATTATTGAAGCCGTACGGCTTCCTCTTTAAAATCTCTACAAGTATATGTTTCGACGTGATCTACGTCATCTTCAGGAGTAACTTTTTATTGTGTAAATATAAAAAGTTTTTTTAATTAATTATTTATTATAATTTTAGCACAAAAAAAATGCAATACAGTTTGATTTTTAGAATTTTTTATTTTTAATTTCGCGCAAAGCTACTAGAGGGCTATCTATACTAGCAGTCATTAATTTAGCAGTGTTAGAGGAAAGGTAGCTAATCAACACCAACCACCGCCAACTTTTGGGCTACTCTTTTACCAACGAATAATGGAATTAACCGACAGTTATAAGGCCCTCACGGCTGAAAGAGCGTGAATGTTCACTGACTTAGATATTATCACCTGAATAATATAAACTAAAAACAATGCAATATGTCCAAATGCAAAATAGGCTATACAGCTGCAATCATTTTAACATTATCTATATAGCTATGTTTTCATTCTTACATCTACTTTTAACCTTCAAGCTACTAAACTCTATAGGAACATTTTTCTCCAACTAAGACACTGATATTATACTTTGTAAAACATTTATGTAAATGTTAATCAAACGTCATCTTGCATGGCATCAGTTACAGGTTAAAGTGCATAGCACATTCCAGTTGGATAAGTTGTTTTTACATTTGTTATAATATTTACAGCATACTTCATGATTTACACTTATATTAGTTTAACTTACAGTCTATTTAGAGGATTATTTATCATATTAACATAAAACATTCAAACTCTGTCTGTCTCTCTATATATATTTATATAATAAGCCTCACAATAAACTAACTATAATACAGCATAGTTTGACTTTGTAGTTTATTAGACACTACCAATTAAACAGTCCTATAAAGAACTGTTTTTATGTTAACTTATAACATGTAGTTATAGTTTCTTCTGATTCCTATAAGTTAAAAGTATTACTGTATTTCCAAATGGGAATTAGGCACTACGTCTACATACCATTTATTATTTTTTATTCTTATTTCTGCTTTTTCACTCTCTTGTTATAAAAAATATATATGAACATTTTGTTCCAACTAAATATATTAAAACTGATATTATGTGTTCTTAAACAGTTTTCTAAACAAATGTCACACTTTAGAACAAATACAATCATCTGTGTATGATAATTACTGTCTGCGTATTTCGAGTAAGTCTGTAACCTTCTGTGTATAATTGTAATCATTGTATGCGTTTTTTGAGTAAGTCTGTAACCTCCTGTTATTATTGTAACTATTGTATGTGTCCTTTGAGTATGTCTGGAACCTCCTATAAAGATGATGAAAAGATGGTTGACTTTCTTCTTCAGACATACCCCAATTGTCCCAAAATGAGGGTTAGTATGGGTATGTTCAGGATTTAGGTGAACACCTTCTCGTTATATCTGTATAAGAAGATTTACAAGGAAAATGATAAACTTAAAAAAATACCAATTATCTGGTATCCATACTCAAGAGCTTTCTTAACTTCTTCTGTCAACCGAACTCCAATAAAAACTTGTTTTTCATCTGAGTGGTGATCTTTCCTCTACTCAGATTTTATGTGGAGGAAAAGTTAATTTTCCATGACTTCTTAAAGTGATAACTGGGTGATACTTTCCTGTGAATAATAATAATTTAGTAAATCTGTAATCTCTGTATATAATAGTGTTTACTGTATGTATATTTTGAGTAAGTGTGGAACCTCCTGTAAATTGTAGTAATTACTGTATGCGTATTTAGAGTGAGTCTGTAACCTCCTATGAATTATGATAATTATTATGTTCATGTTTTGAGCAAGCCTGTAACCTCCTGTGTATTATTATAATTACTGTATGCATATTTTGAGTACGTCTGTAATATCATGTTATTATGAAAAAAATATGGTACACTATGGCAAAATTTGAACTTTTTTTGCAAGGTATTTCACACAAACAACAGTTAACCCGCGTGCAATTTGTTAAAAAAATTAACATTACACTAAATAAAATTTTTATGGGCTTTCTCGACTTATTTAGGTCTAAAACATGCATGTACAGTTCGTTCAAAACCATATGCTTATCACTTTGTGAACATGCATTCAGACATTTCTGCATATTCCGCTATGTTTGTCTTCATTACAACTTTACATTTACTTTACTTTACAATAATTTTAGCCTTGGTTCATTTCATACATAATTATAAACACCTTTCAGCTACTTTTTTCTTTAGTACAGGATATATTTTTCGTTTTCATGAGTTTCTTTGTTTCAACTTGTAAAACCGTGTCATATACTGAACGCTCATAATTGTTTCATACTCTGTACACTATTATTAATACCATTACTATACTTTATTGTTTACTTTACGTGTAGTTTTATTAAATAAAGTTAAGTCAACGTCGAGTTTGTTTGTCTGATTGCGTAGAATTTTTCAAATAGACCAGAATTTATCGATCTAACACATAATGCCTGAAAGAAAGCGTAGCTTAAATGGCGTGCGTGAAAATGACAGAATAATGAAAATTTAAGCGAGAGCATGAAAACTACCGCTAATGTTCTGCGGGTCGCGGCTAGTTATTATTAATGTTTAACCTTTCAAGTAGTCCAAGCGTTCTTCTGAGTTGTTTGTAAAAGTTACATAAGCCTTATTAACTTTATTTTGAAATCTTAAAACCGAATTTAAAAGGTATGTATGAAGTTTCTTCATAGTATATTATTTAAATATTCAGATTTTGCTCTCAAATAAAATTATAACCGTCATTTTTATTTAGATCAAAGAAGTCGCTCCATATTCTACAATGAACAAAACAAAAAGATTTTGGACAGAAGATGTCAAGGTACGAGTTTTGCTCTGTAGCTTCATTTTTTTGCAAGAAGGTTTTTTTTTACAGATCTTTTTATAGAAAAATCACTTTACTTGCTATGAATATTTTCAGTAATACATGACCTAAACCTTTTTTAGTAACTTATGAATATTATTAATCTAATAAATGCAGACACATTTCAGATACTTGAAATTATTTTTAGTGCAGCAAGTACTAAAAGTTTTCAAATCCCTAGTCTTGTTTAGGTTTCGATTATTTCTTTTTTATGTCTGTCATTTCACAGACATGCATAGGATTAATAGCACTTTATAAAAACGATACATTTAAAAAAGCAACTGGCACCAAAATCATATTCCAAGCCAACCCGGAGTAAATTCTTCATTAGTTACAATAAAGGCATTAGTTACAATAAAGAATTTCTGAGAGAAAGATGGGTGAAAAAACTGGAACCAAAGCAACCTCATTAGAATACATCTCTGTCAAGCTCCACTGGACTTTTGTTCTATTGGTCTGCTTTAATGTGGTTTCGAAAGCCGACATCACGTACGTGGGAGGGGTTGTGGAAAGTTTGTCAAAATAGGTGGTCTAGGACTGACCTCGCCGATCGTGACAGAAGTTTGTTACGTTGAAAATTGCAAGCTCAGGAGATGTTACGTAGTCTTGGCCATCAGAGTGGGGCACGAACGATGAGAGGGTGAAGCAGTTCAGGGGACAGAACAAGACCTGAAACATATTTCTTATAAAGTGCGATTAACCTTCAGGATTTAAAGAAGAGATGATAAAGATATAACAAATATACAAGCTACATAGTGAAGACAGTAAAATGTGATTGGGTGACAGAGGTTGTCAAGAGTAGGGTCCATACAAATATACAAGCTACATAGTGAAGACAGTAAAATGTGATTGGGTGACAGAGGTTGTCAAAAGTAGGGTCCATACAAATATACAAGCTACATAGCGAAGACAGTAAAATGTGATTTGGTGACAGAGGTTCTCAAGAGTAGGGTCCATACAAATATACAAGCTACATAGTGAAGACAGTAAAATGTGATTGGG